CCTGCTGGGCTCTGCTGAAGCACACCTGGCCAGGCTTCCTGCGTGCTACACCCTTACTTCAGGGGTCCATCCTACCCTCCTCCCCTGCCTGTGCAGGGCGTACTCACTAAGGAGAACTTGTTCACTTGCACATAGAGGGTCTCCAGCTCCTTGTCGGACACGGCTCCCCCTCCACCTCCCTGGTCCTCTTGGTTCAGTTGCTTGTAGGCATGCAGGTAGTGCCTCAGCCACTGCAGCTGGGTCTCTTTGCTGGGGTATAGCCGGTAATCCACCTCCTTCACCCCTGCCAACGGGAGCCAGGAATGAGGAGATGGCAAGATGGAAAAACACCATAGGGTCTCAGGGGCAAAGCAGCATCATGAAAAGGGCAATCCCAGGGCATCTTTCCATTAGCCCTCTAGAGATGCCCACTCCCCCAATCCAGGACAGCACCAGTGGGAGATCTTACTGCTACCCACTCAAGCAGGGGAAGCAAGGATACAGATCCCATATGCTTCTAACACAACCCTGTCTTGCAGATTTGCTGGGACCTGGGGCCGGGGAAACCCAAGAGCAAAGTGCGGAACCTAGGCTCTTATACTGTCATTTCTCCTGTGATATCTGTGCTGATTCCTAACTCTTCCTGCTCTCTATAGGGAAACCCTCCCTACGGAAATTCTTATTTTAAAAGTGAGTTATCATTTGGACTGATCTCAGGGGGCAGGAGGTCCCAGCTGTGCTCCGCTATGGTCAAGTCTGGATTCAGTCTGCACTGGTCTCCAAGCTTCAGTCCTCCAGGACGTGATACATCTACCAGGCCTTTTATCAAACCTGGCAGCCACCCCAGAGCATGCAGGAGCTCTGCTCAGCAGCTTGGAGCTGCCACGTGCTCCCAGCCCTGCATTAGGAAATCAGCTAGGGCAGAATGAAGTGACCCCATGAAACCACCATGGCAACCTGAATGACCTCCAGCCCAGAGGAGCTCAGGTCAATGCCTCCCCCAACAGGTGCTGGTGCCATCCTCCAGCACAACGCCCCTCTGCTGAGTCAAAGAGTCCTGCAAGAACAGGAGGGATGACTACCAGACACTGAACTGTCCACTGCAGTTCCCAGAGGTCTCCCATCCAAGGGCTACCCCACCCCTTCTCCATCCCTGCTTAGCTTGCGAGGACTGCAGGGAGTGCAGCAGAAGGCTGCGGCGACTGCAGACAGCACGCCAGGGCTCCCTGTCTAGACACTCAGTAATTGCAGAGTGATGCGAGGTTGCTGGGTAATTACACTCCAGCGCTCCCAACGGAGGCTGCTGCTAACCTGCACTTCAGGCTCTCCCTGGGGAGAGGAGGGAATTGAACCCACAGTTCCCTCATGCATATTCATGAGGCAATTAAACAGCACCCTCCGCTACCTGTAAGTAAGAAAGGGCCTGAGGGGACTGCTCACCTGCAAACTCATTGAAGTGGTTTCCAATGTCAAAAGCCTGGTAGTTGTAACTTGTGTACTCGTAGTCTATGAACCGCACGTGCCCTGCAGAAGCCAAAGGAAGGAGCCATTAAAGCAGAGGCCAAAATGAAGCCTCTGGTCCATCAGCCTGTTTGTGTTTGGAACAGCATTATGGGGGTAAGGGTTGCACTCCCCCAGGCGTTCACAGCCCTCTTTGTGCAAAGCCCAGAACCCACCTTCGGCTTCGTTGTAGATGATGTTCTTACAAAGCAGGTCGTTGTGGCAGAGCACAACGGGGGACCCCAGCTGGGACAGATACTCCTGCACCCAGGCAACCTCTTGTTCCAGCACCTCCAGGCTGGGCACATCCTGATGGAGGCTGGGGGAGGAAGAGCAAGCGATGTCTTTCCCATGCACAGCAAGCCTCCTTTATTTTCTTCAAGCACGGTCAAATCATAACAGTAAAAGCACAGTGAGAGCCAGGGGTCCGAGCTGGAGGGCTCCCAAGGCCAAGGTGGCCCTTGGAGACTCGTGTCCTTCAGGGGCTATTCAGAGCTCCTGGTGGCCCCAGAGAGCAGCACGCCCTGACGACAGGGCCGGGAGCCTAGTGCTCTGCTCACTACCATGTCTCCCTGTGATCAGTACAGTCAAACGCACTGACACAAGGTCTTGATTACAGTCTTTGAAAGGTTTAGAATGACAAAGCTCCAGCCTGCACACCTCATCTACCGCTACAGCCAAGCCCCAGGCCCCCAAGCCACAAGCCCAACAGGATTTAACAACACAGAGGAGCACGTGATCCATTAATAACCTCAAAAAGACCTAACTGTATCAAAGCCAGAGATGGTTAATCATTAAATCCAAGCAATCATTCAATACATGCTGTCTAGGCAGAGCCTGCGGGATGTGCAGCGTGTATTAACAAAGGCTCCTGAGTCCAGCCAAGTTTTAAGGTAACACAGTTAATAATTTGCTGGCTATCTAGGTTATTCACCTTCGTTATTTAATGTGACCGGCAACATCCAAGAGGGTGAATCCAGACCCGGGCTGTGCCATGTTCTAGATTCACCCACCTGTAAAGGGCTTGAGCCTCAACTTTAGATCTTAGGGTCAATCTTGGGCTTTGCCAGGGGCGCGCGTCTTGGCTCCACTTCTTGACAGGTTCTGGCTGGTGTCACCCTTCCAACCCACTGCCTGGGCTTGTAGTGGAGCCCCTACAAGGACACGTGAGAGCTGCCCTGGGATGGCCCAGGTGGGGCGATGCTGCTAGACCCCCTCTGCCTTTACCTTGGGTTGGATACCTTTGTGAAGAGCTCCGTTTTCACGATGGAAAGGAACTTGTGCAGCTTGTGCCACAGGCTGGGCTTGGGGAGGCTCCCATTGGCGTGGATGGCATGCATTTTGGCCATCTCCTGGGCAATCAGCCTGCAACAGATCACACGCATAAAACAGGTGAACTTGTAAAACAGGGGCTAAGCTTAGAGACTTCACTGGTTCCACCAGGTGCCAGGGTGCTTGGCACCATCTGAAAACCTGTTCCAAGGTGTTCCAAATAAGGCACCAAAAAATCAAGGCCTGATGCTCCCAGCTCATGCTGATGGCAGCTAAGTCTGCTCTCCCCATGAGTCCTGCACCTTCAGGACATTCCAAGGTTTTGTCTGGGGGAAAGAAATCAGACTTAATGGGCCAAACTCTCTGATGGTGCCCAGGCCAATCTTGCCATTTTATGTAAAAACAAACCCTACTGCTTTTCTTTTCTAAGCCAATCAATTTTGGGCTCCTTTTCTCCTAACTTGAGACTTTCAAATTCTTCCAGTCCAGGAGGACTAGAAACTTGGCTTTTTACAGTAATTAAATATGCAGATAAATAAGGCTGGGATTCTCGTTCAGTTTCTGGATGCAAGAACCTGGGGTTTTAAGAAACACGCCAAATGTCACAACTGTTGGCACCACTGCCATTAGCATCACTGGAGAATCTGAGAAGAGAAATAGTCACACACAAAAAAGATGAAAATAAATCAGCAAGGCTCTTGTGTTCTGGGAAGCATCAAAAATGTTTTGTTTTCAGTCTGATTTGAAATGAATCATCAAATTCCCAAGGTGTCTGCATTCATCGACAACGGGGAACCCTGGGGTTTCACCAGCTCTGCTCTCCAAAGGGGAGGCTGGTCTGCAGCAGAATGCTAAACCTGTCTCCTCTGCCCCTGCAGCCCCACCTTTCAGTGCAGGATGATGAAGGGGGACAGGCCCCTTCTACTGCCCCGGTTCCCCTGGGTGCACAGCCCACCAGAGTTTCTATGGCTGCAGTAGCCCTCTTCTGGCTGCAGGCACATACCAGCTCCCAGTACGGGGCTTTTCAGGGCATGGGGGTTATATACACCTTATTCCCACTTCGGGCCTGGCTTCCTCCAAATCCCATTCTCTGTAGCACCCTAAGCCTGACTCTTGGTAGCCCCTTTGGAGTACCTAGGCTACAGCTTGTAATGAGAGAACCCAGTCTACTGGGGAGAGGGGTTAAATCGTGTCTCTTGGCTGCAGAGCAACGATGCTGCCTCCCCTCAGGTCAGGGCCAAGGCCACGTTTCCCTCCTGGAAAACAGCTTGGCAGGCTCTTGGAAACAACCTCACAAGGGTATTCACTTAGAGAGGCCGAGTGTCTTTGATCAGGCAGATTCCTTCCTTTCCTCCCATTCAGGCCTATATTTCCTCTGGGGAGGAGTCCTCATGGCCTCCGCCTTCTCAGCCAGGGGGTGGCATAGCGGGAATAGGATTCCTCTAGGCACCTGAATGAAGCAGCCCGAGGGTGACGCCCTGCCCATCAGCTCTATTGCTCTCAAAGCGGGCAGGGAGGGGAGCTCTCCCCTGCTCTGCGGAGGCTGCAGTTTAAAATCAGGCCAAACCTTGAACCCCAAAGATCTCAGCAACCAAGACCTGCCTTTTCTCTGCTTCCCCTCCCAGCCGCGCCCCACTGCCCTTCTTGGGCCAGCTTTCAAGCCCAAGGGAGTCATCCTCAGTGGCACGGGGATTGGACCGTGGGCTCTTCTCCCCTCCCATGGCAGCCATAGAGAAAGGCAACATGGCCTCACTGCCCCCACCTGAACATTTGGGGGTCCTGCACGTGCTCGGGGCCCAGCGCTATCCCCTGCATGAACTCGTAGCACAGGCCGTTCTGGAAGGAGCAGTAGAGGCTGGGGGCGCAGCCGTGGGCTTGCAGCACCTGGAAGTTTCTCAGCTCGCTCTCTCGGTCCACGAAGAGCTCCGTCTTCCTGCCATAGACACGCACCAGGACTGCGTCCGCCATCGCCTCATCCACGTAGCAGGCCATGAGCTTATTGGTGATGCCATCGGTGAAGAGCTGGAGGGGGTGGGCAGAGGAAGCCATTAGTAGATACCTTCATGGCCACATGGGGAGAGAAGAGGGTGGCCAAGAATCTGTGGACCTTACCCCTTGTCCCCCTGGCCACCACGCCTATGCCCAGCACCCCTACAAGCCAAGAAACATTCATGTCTCCATTTCAGAGAAGTGAAGAAAGACACAACAAACATGCCCAAGGCCAGAAAGGAAACCTGTAGCGAAGCACTGCATGGAATTAGCTCTCCAAAGCCCCTACCTTCTGAGCTGTCCTTCCTCTCCTTGCCCCTCCTGCCAGGCTGAAGTGGTGGCTGAGGATGGAGAGTGCAGGGTGATCAGTCCCTCCTTCCCCTAGGAAACCCCAGTTTGCTATCTGGGCAGTGCCCAGAGAGGCCCTGGCAAAGGTGAGGCAGGTCAGACAAGTCCCCGCCCCAGGCTGGGAGCCAGTGCTGCTGGTCTCAGCTGGCAGGCTTTGGTACCCACTCAGCGCTGCTGTGAAAGACTCCACAAGTTTCATCCTCGCCCAGAAGATGCACTGCAGCAACAGGGAGGCTGCTGGTGGCAGGGAAGGGGCACACTTCAGCAGTTGCTGTGCAGGGAACGGCACACATTTCCTGAGGGCTCATCTCAGTGCACGACTGTTATCAATGTGGTTTCTAATGCCCTCCTGGGGGATGTGTCTGACCGGAGGGTCCGACGGACGGGATGGCAGGGATCCCGGTGATCCAGAACAGGGCTAGGGACTGGGGCCAGTGCATAGGACAGGAGCAGCAGGAACAGTCTGAGGGGCTGCTGGGCTGGGCTGCCTGGCCAGACTCACTCAGGGTTTAGCTGGAGCAGAAAACGACAGAGGGGAGGTGGGATGATGCTCCAGTCACAGGCGACATGAGGTAGGGAGGTCTCAGCATAAATGTGTTGTGCATTGACTACACAACCCAAGCTTAAAACAAGAGCGGCATGACTCTAGCAGGACTTGGTCTGACCCCAGGGTCAGTTCCAAGGCTGGACTCGATCCAGGCTCGCCAAGGATCAAGGGGGCCAAATTCTCAGCACGTCGGAGGTGCCGGTGAGGGACCCCGGCCAAGCTGGGGTGGGGAGGGGAGGGGACTGGGCTGAGGTTGTGGGTCGGGGGCTCCCAGGGGTTGAACCCAGGGATGAATCCCTCACGCAGCACAAAGGATCTGGCATAAAAAACTGCAAGGAGCAAGTGAAATAAACAAACCCGCCCCGTGGGGCCGCGCAGCACCAGGCAGCGGAGACGTCTCTGCTGGGGACGCCTCTGTCACGGTACTGATGGCTCCCCGCAGATGGAGACAGGGTTTTGTTCTCTCTGCTCCCGAGCTTGGCCGGGTGCCCGAGCACATGGAGTACCCCCTGCCTGCCCCCTCCCCTGCTGCAGGAACACACTGTCCCAGGCCAGGCCTCTGCTTGCCCCAGCTCCCTCTGCCGTGAACCCTCCTATGTGCACTGGTCTGTGGAGCAAATGCAGGGAGGGGTATTTCAAGGGGGCAACTCCAGGAAGTTGTGGGCTGACAAGCACTTCCCTCACTGAGACGGGCAGGCACCAAAAGGAAACACAGCAGGCTCATGTCAGTGCCTGGAACAAGGCTACGCAGCTCCCTGGAGCAGGCACTTATCCCGACTAAATGCTCGGTAAATCTGGAGCACTGGGCACTTCATAAGCATTGCTTGCTGTTTGCTACATGCTGTCATATTAATAACCCCAAAATGACCAGCTGGCCTCATTTTGAAGGCTTCTGATAGCAGCCCTCTGCCAGCCTGGTCCTCATGCCCGGTCCCATTCTCAGGACAGCAGGGCTGTGACTGAGACTCATGTGGATCTGACCCCAGCTCCATGACTCATGTGGATCTGACCCCAGCTGACTTCCTGCCCCTTGGGCAGGGAGCTGGATCCATTGATCTTGAGAGGTCCCTTCCAGCCCTAATGTCTATGAAATCTGTGTTCCTTACAATATCAGCAATAAGCAGGAGTAACTTCATGGTCTCAGCAGACATACAGCAAAGTACAGGAGGTGCAGAAGAGAGACCAGGCCTGTTGTGCGGGAATGAGGAGACTTGTCATTCCTGTTGGGATAAGGCAGCTTCCCAGGGAAACCATTTTACTAGCATCAAAATTGGGAGATTTGGATCCTCATGCAAAGAGGGGAGACCACAGCTCACACCTCAGGCTGCAGGCACCGGCTGGGCAAGGTGCCCCCCAGAGAGAGCCCTCCTCTAAGAGACGGAGGTTCAGACTCGTATGCCGCTCAGAAGGTAGCTCTCTGCCCAAACACAGCTATCTGGTGCTGCCTGAGTACTGGTCCAACTAGGGCGCAGAGAGCAGTGACATGCCATCTGCATGATGTGTTCCTGTGGGGAGCAGGGGTTGCAGTGGGAACAACATAAGGTACAGCTGGATGGCACTGGCTTTGCAACCTCCTACCCCTGCAGGTCTGACAGGCCAAATCCTAGGCAGCTTCATCACAATCAGTGGACCTGTAGCTTTCAGCCAGTGGAGTGAGGCTGATTTATTCCCCCTGCAAGACTGGAGGAGGCTGTGGGACCACAGAGGTGGAAGGGACCTCAGGGATCATCTCGTTCAACCCCCTGCACAGGTGCAGGATGCACGATGGCTAACCCATCCCTGGCAGATGTCCGTGCTGAGCAGTCCCCACTCGCCCAGCCGTGCTGGCTTGTAAGCTGACCCCCACCTCAAGCTCCCCTCACCAGGTCCAGTTGGAGCTCTCCCCCAGGTGTGAATAAGATTCATGGCCTTTATCCTCTTTGCATGCCATGTCCTGGCTCCCAGCAGCTTAGGCGTCACTCCCTGGTGACGCACATCAGCGGGAGCCCTCTGGTTGCACAGACAGCGTCTTCTCCACTTTCCAGGCACAGGCAGCTGTCCAAGGGATGTCCCGAGACATTCCCAGAAGATGAGAGTATCAGTTGCACAGCTAGTCGTGGTCAGTAGGCTCACAGCCTTCTCACCATCCCTGCCTGAAACGTCCAACATACCTTACTGAGACGACAGGGGCTAGTATTTCTGCCATAAGGTGGATGGGCAAGTAGAAAGGAGGGATTTACTGCAGCCAGGAGGAGAGAAAAAATAAAGTCAAAGACGCAAGACCGGAGGTTTTGGTGTTTTGAACGCAGGCATGGCTCTGAGCAGTAGCATTGCAAAGTCACCACAGACCTGGCCGAATGGAGGAGGGCTGTGCTGCACTGAGGCAAATCCTTCCCTGCAGGCCCAGAGAGCAGCCCTGGTACTGGCTGGCATGCCATGTGCTGCCAAGCTTTTGAAATGATGCTGGGCTCCCCTTAGTACAGGGACTGCAGGATGTGCACACACAGGCACAGATCCCCCGGCTCCCACCTGCCATCTGCTCCTGCCTCAACCCACCTGCGCATTCAGCACCCAACTGGACCTACAGCTGCCTGCTCCCCCATCAGCGCACATGCAGCACGACCGCATACCACATCCCGCTGCTCTCACCCACATCCCAAGCAATCCCTGCCCACACACGGGCTCTCACATCCACTCTTCACCCCACGAGGCTCCTGTCACCACTGCCAGATGTACAGCTCTGTAAGCAGAGGCATCTGGCTGCCATGATCAAGGTGTCTGGAAGGCACGGCGCTCAGCCCGGCTCCCCCACTGCAGTCTCGACTGGGCTTCCCTCTAGATTCATCGCTCTCGCTTTCCTCATCACGCGATGGAGCAGCGCACGCTTCTCTGGCAACAGGATATTCACTCGCTCGCTAAGAGACAGATGCCACGAGACACTCCTGCATCCACATGCTTTCGTGGCCGCATCTAAGGGATGCCAGGATGTGGGGCCAGCTCCTTGGGGTCGTCGCAGCTACAGAGCAACCTACAGACTTCTCTTTCTCACTCTGGGAGGTGAACTGCTCTTAGATGGCCTCAGAGTTGGGGGCCAGAGGGTTTGGCAGACATCTGCAGTGTTGCCACGCAGTAGCTGTACCCTGACAGCATAGGCCTGTTCATGCTCTAGCAAGTCACTGGAGCAACACACTCCAAATGAGCCCCGGCCCCAGCCCATCCAAAGCACCACAGTCTTAGCTCCAAGGAAAGAAGGCCTGCAGGGGATCAGAGCCCCTCACCACAGCAGGGACACACTGGAGGAGAGGGGCTGATGAAGCCTTATTGATATCAGTACAGCTGGGGAAGGCACAAGTCCTCCCTGAGGAGAGGTCGCCCATGCCAGGTGCTGTGCCAACACATGACAAGGGGCAGCCCCAGCCCAAAAAAGTTTACAGCCTCAGCTCCGAGTTTCCTGCCTATTAGCATGTGCCCTTTCCTGTCTCTTTTCATGCAGCTTCTTGTATTTAATTACACTTGGCTATTAATACATTTTTAATGGCACTCCAGGCACACTGGAAATGTGCTCCCTTACAGGACACACGCGGAAATGTATCCAGTACAGCTGCTGCTCCCTCCCGCCCACCCAGGCCCAATTGCAGGTGGACGCTGAAGATGTCAAGACGAGGCATGTTTCTCTTTCTAATTTGATCAAGAGCGGAAGTGCGTCCCCAGGTGCACAAGGAGCATGCTAGGGCAATGGGGTGTCCCCTGCTGCTTTTTGGGCACACGCTGGGGTTGCTGTGCTAAAGAGCGGGTGTGCCAGGGTGCTCTGTGGCTGCGAGGGGCAGGAGCTCTTCTGGACAGCTCTTTATTCCACAGCTGCCCGGGATGCAAAACCCTGTGCTACATTCATAGATTTCATAGACATTAGGGCTGGAAGGGACCTCGGAAGATCATCGAGTCCAGCCCCCTGCCCAAAGGGCAGGAAGTCAGCTGGGGTCATAGGATCCCAGCAAGATAAGCATCCAGTTTGCTCTTGAAGGTGTTCAATGTAGGCGCTTGAACCACCTCCGGTGGCAGGCTCTTCCAGACCTTGGGGGCTCGGACAGTAAAGAAATTCTTCCTTATGTCCAGCCTGAAACGGTCTTGTCGTAGTTTATGACCGTTCGACCTAGTCGTCATCCCTCGGGGCGCTCTGGTGAACAAACGTTCCCCCAGATACTGGTGGTCACCCCTGATAAACATGTAGGTGGCCACCAGATCCTGTGAAGATTCCTACGAAGGCAGGGCAAGTAAATCTGACGCCCAGCCAGCCCCTACCTGATCCCACCTTCATGCCCTCCAGCCTGTCCCTACTTTTATTGCTACTCAAACCCACCCGCACCCAGGAGCCGAACGCGACTGCCACTCGAGAGACGGAGCCCCACTTCCCCAGCCCACCCAGCCTAGCAAGGGACCCAATCCTGCACACACTGAAGCCCCCCTGGGAAACTTCAGTGTCGGGGGGAGACGCACACGTTTTGGGAGAGCAGAGCCAGGCCTCCAGGCTGCAAACCGCAGCAGGGTGCCTGGCCTTCTCCAACCCAGAGATTGCAAATATTGCACGTTGGCGGTGGCTCCCTGCAGCAGGGTTGACAGAGTTGAGATTTGTTTGGGCTGGTCCTGCTTGGAGCAAGGGGCTGCACTGGGTGACCTCGGCAGGTCCCTTCCAAACCTCATTTTCCACGATGGTCCAGGGCTGATCCTTCCCCAGTCCCGCAGCTCCCTGCCAGCCCCACGGCTCCAGGGGTCTCGCTCTTTGCACCGGGTGCTCGGGGCTGAGGCCAGATGCTGCAAGTGCCCCCTCCCCTGTGCCAACCCCACCGACCCCTTCCCCTGCCTACCCGGGGTTGGCACCAGCCCCCAAACCCAGCCCGGTCCCTCCAGGTGCTCCTGTGGAGGGGATCCTGGTGCCCAGAGGGGCCAGAGCTGGCGGCGGGGGTGCAGCCGGGCACCCCGCGAGCCCTACCTTGGTCTTCACGCGCTCCGCGTCCCAGTGCGGCCGCAGCTCCCGCAGGAGCCGCAGCGCGCCGGGCAGCAGGTCGGCCTCGTCCACCGCGATGCCCAGGTAGCGTAG